AACGTGGATTTTCATCTGGACCACCATCGACAGTAACAATAACAATTGGTTTAACTTGTCCAGATTCATCACGTGCTACTTTTTCAAATTCTTTTAAATTAACAAGACGATCAAAATCTGTTGCATGTGAATCAGCATTTGATTGATCATGTTTAGCTGAACGTACAGCAATATATGTTGGTCCTGAATAACCTAAATCACCATCTTCAGATAAAAGACATGCTGCATAAACACTTGGTGTCAATTGATGTCGTGGTGCAACTGTCCAATCGTGATCAGGTAAACGTATACGATAATCCAAATGCATTAACATTGGTGCTTGAACACGTGCTGCTGGTAAACCAAGTGGAACTTTACATTTATCATCTTGTGATAAATAAAAAACACAATCATTTCCAAATATTGATGCTAAATCTTTCATATAACGTATTGTTGCTGTTGCAAAATGACCATCTTCATGTTTACCATGTTCATCGTTTTGTGCACGACGAAGACGAACTGGAACTGTTTGAATATGTCGACGACCTTCAATTGATGATGCACGATGAGGTAAAAGACTAAAACAAAATAAAATCATTTTCAATGATAAAATTAATAATGAAATCAGAATAGTAGTGTTTCCCTGTGTCAACGGACAAAAGGGCCTGTGCTGCTATACAAAAAACAATGTTCTCCTACCGATAGTAAAGTGTTGTTCGTTTAATATCATAACCACGTTGTTTAATTTTTTCACGTAAATCATCTAATGTTAAACAAGGACGAATTGTTTCTGAACGTCGACGATCATCACTAGCACCACCAACTTTAGCAATTTCTTCAATGATTTGTAATAAATCTGGACATTGTTCTTCAACACGTGGTCGACCAACACCACGACGATAAAGTTTATGTAATTGTGGACCTAATTCAGGTTTGGATTCTAATAAATTATCAACCTAAATGAAGAAAAGAAACTAAATTTAAAAAAAAAAAATCAAAATGAAAATTTATTTTTACAATTTTCTTTTGTTTGTTTCGATATTTATTTGAAGCACGTTGTTTAGATTGAAGACGTTTTAATTCATAAGCTTTCTTTTTTCGATCAACAATTAATTGTTTTAATTGTTTTTTATTTTCTGGTGTTGCCAAACCCATTTGTCGAACTTGTACTAATGAAGCAATACGTTCATTAATGGTACTTAATTCTTTATATGCACGTTCTTGTGCTGGTTGTCGAACTTTTTTTGGTAAAGGTTCTAATGGACCAGCAGTTGTTTGAGCTGATTTTGATGGATCTTCAATAATTTGATCATCAGTTGGTTTACGTTTTTTAACATAATAACTTTTTTTCTTTTTTTTCTTTTTTTCTGGTTCTTCTTCTTCCTCCTCCTCATCATCATCAAGATCATCTAAACCATTCCATTCTTCATCTTTATCTTTTTTCTCACCACTATTTTCTTTATTTGATGTTTCAGTTGTTTCAGGTTTTTTAGAATTTTTTTTTGGTCGTCCACGATTATCTTTTCGTGGTTGTTCAACAGGTGATGGTGGACGTGCAAGACCTTCATTTTCTGGTGCACCTAATCGATTATAAATTTCTAAATATTGTTCAATTTTTTCTTTAACTAATTCTTCATTTGTTTTTATTGAATTCCATTCAACTTGAGCATCATGATGTCTTACCTAAATATTAGATTTTACAATATATATTCGTTTATAATGAAACCATTTGTTTGAAGGAATAGATTTTCATGACAATTAAATATTTAAATCTCATTGTTTTTTTTTTGCTTTATTATTCTGAATAATTCTTTTTTTTTTCAGATAAATAAGAAAAATAAACTTACGGCACGTTTAACATCAGGGTGAGCTTTCATATAAGCATCAACGAATGTTTTATAAAGACTCACTGCTTGAGTCTTTTTGCCTGGTTTGCTAGGCATGATGATGATGATGACGATGGTGATTATAAGTTTATGTTCGGGAAAGTGAACGGGTCTTAATGTGTATCGATGGTGGTGAGGAAGAATGTGAATGAACCGAGCAAATACACTAACGTAGGTCACGAAGAAAGGAGAGAAAATATAGAACAAAGAGAGAGAAGAAAAATATAGAAGAAAAAAAAAATAATAGTAATCGTAAAACACTGTAGTGACCTTTCTCTTGTACAAACGGTCACGATACTATGATAAGAGAAAGAAAAGGGGAGAAAAAAAACTCTTTTGAACGGGTAACCGTTCGTTGTTCTCTGATCCAGGGTTGGTCGATAAGGACATCATCATGTCTGGAGAAAAAAAGAGAAAGAACGAGAAAGGGATAGAGACGTTATTTGACCGGGACACGAGGAAAAAAAATAACTCGTGACCATCGTATACCCTACCAACGATCACCATTTTTTTGATTTCATCGACCAATCTCGCACAGAGTTCACATATTCAGACAAGGAAAGTTCAGACAAGACATTCTCCTATAATAAATATATGTAATATCATGTAGAAATGTCACATGTTTAGAATATATTTTGTATTATTGAAAAATAACTTCATTGAAGTTTATGATTAAATGTGAATAGAATATAATTATTTTATAAAACATAATTTATATTTGTATATCTTGATGATATCGAGTTTTTTCACGTAAAAAAATCAACAAAGATTATAAATAAATTAAGATAAATATCAATAACAGCATTGTTCGACTTTGAATTATTATTCTTCTAGTTTTGGTTATGAATATTGATATGTTGTTTGCAATGAATTAAGCAAATTGTATGCTAATACATGGATCATTTTGAAAGATACTATTCACAACAGAGTTATAAATATTCTAAAAAAAAAGCTTAGACCCATCGCTTATTGCTATCGTTATTCTTATTTCAAGATACAGTTTCGGTAACAATGCGCAGAATACGAACAAATCAAATGGCTTAATACTTTCACGTTTAATTATTCTTACTAATACTTGTTTCTATACATAGTTTAAAGTCAATATTCGAACGAACTGTCTCAATCGTATTTACCTTGCAATGACATCGTAAATAAGCTATGGGTCCGAATTCATTTCAAAATATTCATTACCTATTAGGACCTACGTGACACACATAGTCCCAACTTCAAAGTGAATAATTAGTTAGAGAACTTCTCGGTTAAATTTTATTCAGTTTCATGAATATTGAATAAAAAAAAATAAATGATATATTGTTCTTAGGTAAATGTATATAAGTTAGAAATTATATTTCATGAAAATTCCAAGATTTATCAGTTTTTATAACTAGGATGTTTGAACCAAAAAGAATGGCATTTGTAGGTGCTGGATTGTACATAGAAATTGATCTTATTGTTCCATTATTATCGATATGTATAAGACGAGAATTATTATAATCTAGTAGAAGCCAATCATTACAATTAAGTAAACAGGAATAAGTAATTGAATGAATAATATCATATTTAGTATCAAGTTGCAATAACCAAATTCGATCGAATGTTATAGATGATCGAAGTTCCATACGGGTTTTATTTCCATTTTGAATTATTAAAGCAAGTGTTTCATTATTGTAAGTCATATCTGTAATAATATCGCGTTCTTTAGATAGATTAGAAATTTTCCAACGTTTGATTAATGGAAAAGGTGATTGAAGATCAAATTGAAAAATATCTGTACGATGCTGACATGCTAAAAGATATAGAGAAGTATCAGAACACGTACAATGCCACCAGAATTGCTCTGGATTTATTTCAATTTGTTCAACTGATGTTAAACTTTCATTAATAAGATAAATTTGTTTATTATAATCAAGCACAATAAATCTATTTAATGTCAATGACCAACACATATCATATACTCCATGATTTTTCCATGGTATATTTTTTATCATTATTAATTCTTTATTAAACAACTGTAATTCTGACTTATGATGTATCAATAGAAAATTGTCATTCGCAGTACATGATATATATGCATTATAATCTTCAGAACAAGCAATTGTTTTGTATGGAGGTAAAAGAATTGTAAAATCGATTTCATCTCGTTTTGTTTCTTCAATTGAAATAAAATTTTCATATAATTCTAATGGACGAATATTTATATTAAAACATATTTGATGAATTTGTTTTATTTCATGTTTTATTGTTTCAATAGTTAATTTAAAAAATTCAATATCTTGTTGTGTCGCATCATGCTCATGAATAAGTTTATTTATTTTCGATTGCATTTGTTCGATTTCTTTTTGTTGTTTTTCCGTTTTTATAACATATTGTTGTTCAAGTTCATGACGTTTTTTTTCATATAAACGATTTATCATTTGATAACATTCATCACGCCATATATCGAGCTTCTTAAGACAATTACCAATTAATTTTTCTTTGGTTTTTTTCATAATTTGATCGTAAAGAATATTGATTTCATTAGTCAAAGGATCTAACTGACTATTAATTGATTCATAATGTTCATCTAAATGATCTGGACAGAATGTTTTGTCACAGCAATGACAAGAAATACCTAATGTAGATTCACATGATTCAGCAGCACATGACTGAGACATGTCAATAACAATGAAAGTTTTATTTTTATTAATGCTTAATAAATATTATTGTAAAGTAGTACAGAGTAAAAACAAAGATTCTTTTCTTATTCTGGAGAGAGAAAGATAAGAGAAAAAAAATAAATTCGAATTTTTTTCTTCACATTTCAGTTTGTCGAATGACATCATGAAAAAGAACAAATTTTGTATGCATGGTCATAATGATTAATAAAACATGATGCAATTAAGACGTGTACTAGTTTTGAGAGATGAGAGAACAAAATTTGAAAGTTTTCTGAATATTTAATAAATTATATCAATGAGAAGATAATTTAAGATAAACCAAAATGTAATACGAATAAATTCTTGAATAGTTTTTTCTAGTATACGAATCATAGTGTTTAACAAGTGACAGCAAAATATTTTTCTATATCATCAATGAAATGCAAAAGGCACGAGTTATTCGAATAAATCATAACTAAATTGTTTTTTTTTTCGCATGTCAATGCCAAACTTCATGAAAATTAATTGTACTATCAGTCCGTATAACAAGTATATTTGAACCGAATAGAAGAACTTTATAAGGTGGTTGATCATAGGTGACTGTTCCTTTGAGTTTTCCTTCTCTACCAATATGAAAAAGTTGTGATGTATTTGCTTCGACAACGAGCCATTCATTATCTTGAAGTGAACAACAACGAATTGGTAGTTGATATGATACATATTTTATATCCAGACGAATAGAAAATAATTGATCAAATGTTGCTAAAGATCGAATTATTGCATGTACTATTTTATCCGAAAAAAGTGCAATTATTAGAGCAATTTTGTCATCGTTGCAAGTAATATCTTTAATAAATTCATTTTTTTTGACAAGCTATTGGAGGATCCCATCGTCTAGTATAAGAAAATGATGGCAAAAGAGAGAGTTCAACAATACTATTACTAAGTGATGTTAAATATAGGAATGAATTCGAACATGTGCATGACAACCATAAATGATTATTCATTACTTCAATACAATTAAGTGATAAATTATTTCCATTAACTAAAAATGCTCTACTTTTCTCTGTAATTATAATAAAACAAGCTAAACCTAATGACCAATATAAATCATGAATAGCTTCATAGTCTCATCTAGATTGTCGAATCATGGTCAACTCTTTATCAAATAGACTTAAATCAGAATTTTGATCGAGTAATAAAAATTCATTATTACTGGCCAATCCAAATCCAAAATTTTCAGAAACATTCAATGTTTGATAAGGTAATAAAAGTGTTGTTAAATCAAATTCTTGTATTTTCATTTCTCCAATAATAATTAAATTTTTATCTATTGCTAAAGAACGAATATGAATTGAAATAAATTTTTGTTCGGTTTCAGCTATTTTTTGTTTCACATTAAGAATATTTGTTTGTAATTCGTTCAGATTATCTTCATGAATAGTATTTTGTTTCTGATTGAATTCATTTAATTGTTTATATAATTGATCGATTTCCTTTTGTTGTTGACGAACTTTTTGAGTGTAATATCGTTCGAGTTCATCACATTTATTGTCATAAAACCGATTAAATTTTTTAAGACTACTATCTCGCCATTTGTCTAGTTTTAAACGACTATCATCGATTATTTTATCAATATCTAATCTTTTGAGTTGTTCATGTTATATATTAATTTGATCAATTAAAGAATTTGATCGATGGTTCGTTGAAGTAGTATGAGTTAATAAATGTTCTAGACAAAAACTTTTATTGCAACAATAACATAAAACACGTGGTAATTGTTTGCATATGACATCAGCACATAATTGAGACATCGCATTCATAAACCATTAATAGAATCTCGCTTTTTTTAAATGAGAAATAAAACTTAAGTGAAAGATGTAGCGATAATTTTTTACATTTTTTTTCTATGTAAATATATCAAGTTAGACGAGAAAAACAAATATTTAGATAAGTGACGACCAATGTGACAAAATTTTATATTGGAGAAAATATACAAAGAATAAAAAAACACTTGAAAAACCATTCCAGTATATACTAACCAACTATGTGTACCATGCAAGAAAAAACAGTTCGTGTTGATGGTATTTTTCTCACGAAATATTGAACATTTTTATTAAATTTTCATTATAAGATTTTGGGTGTTTTGTCCTATAAAGAAAATTTACTAAAAAACATTTGATCTCTGTTCAGAAACAGATCATAAAGAACTGGCTAGCAGTTAATTCTGTAATTAATATTTCAGGTTTAACAGCCGAAAGAACACACTTGGGTTTAGATCTACAGAATATGATTTTGGATGACAAATTCATTGAAACTCTTGAATGTCCATGGTCTTGTCTTTTCATAGTAAAAACTGAGACATTGAAGACCGATCTTTTATTTCTTTTCTGATATAGTTCGAAAACTTATGCTATAGGTACCTATTGATAGACTAACTTGCGTCCATTAGATCTCAATGAAATGAATTTTGCTAGGTTACAGTGCATACATGAAGAAAAATAGCATGGTGCACTTTTCTGAACTTCTGTTTCAAATGAGCTTTGATTGTTTTTGGATTATTCTATAATATTCGACTTCTCTATTCTAATTGTATAATTATAGTCGATCACTAGTAATAACGTCGAACGTAAGATAACAATTAGTGTATCCAAACTTCCTCATTAAATAACGAGATAATTAAATATGGGACTATTTTGAGTCATTCATAAGTTGATAATGCACTTATCAAGCATAAAACGTCATAAAAATTTAAACCAATAAAAATAATTTGTAACGAAATTATACTTCAAGTGTCTTCTATTAATGTGTATACCTAGTAAGAGCCATCTTCAATTATCGCTCGAACCCTATACTAAAAAGACATGACTTTCCATATACCTTGAACCAATTTTTTGTTCATAAAAAATCATCGTTCGATATTGAACTTGTGAGTCATTTAAAAAACAAAGTATGGCTAAGCTGAGAAAAATGTAAGAATAGAACGTTGCACAAAGTGTAGAGGTCTGCAATTTTACACATAATCCTAAAATATATCTATGTTGGTGTGTGAGTGTGAGTGATTAAAGAGAATATTGACACCCATACGCCCGCAGCCACATCCACACCCGCACACCCACACTCCACACTTCCACCCACCCCCACCTCCACACCCACACTCCCACTCCCACTCCCACGCCCATGTCCACACCCACACTCCCACTCCCACGCCCATGCCCACACCCACACTCCCACTCCCACGCCCATGCCCACACCCACACTCCACACTTACACCCACACTTCACACCCACCTCCACACCCACACTCACACTCCCACACCCACACACCCATACCCACCTCCACCTCCACACCCACACTCCCACGCCCACTCCCACGCCCACACTCCACACCCACACACCCATACCCACCCACACCCACCCACACCCACACCCACACCCACACCCACACCCACCCACACCCATCGGCGGGCCACCAGCTGGCAATTGGTGGCAATTGCCACACCTAAAAATATTATTAGTGGCACAGTTGAATCTAAAATACACTTTCCTATAATCATTGGTGGGTCACCATATAGTACAGTCGTGATGGACAAACTTTTTTTCTGTCGCATTCCCAAATTTTTTGTAAGCGTACTAATCCTGAGTTCTCACTCCGAATCGTCTTTTTTTGAAAAATCTCGACCCCAAATGTTCTGTGCGTATTCTTCTCTAAATGTCTCGAAAAACCTGTCTGTCTCGGTATCCAAAACAAATATAAACATATCCTTGTGTGAGTAATTGACTGTTTAGACGTGGATAAAATTAATAACTTCTTATTCATTAAGCGTAATATGCAAAATACTAAAAGAAATGTATTACTCAGGCCATGAAACAGACAGAAAAAGAAAAGTTAGTGACGTTTCAAACGATTCTCGATCGTCAGCAGCACCACATACAAAAATAAAATTATCAAATAAGGCGAAAATGATGAAAATGATTAGAATAAAGAATTAGAAAACATTTATAATTTTTTGCCTGTTTTTTCTCGTTTTTTCATATGAAAAATTATTTATGTGCAATAAAATAAACGTAATTTGTAATTGTAGAACATGTTGCAGATAAAATTAATGAAGTTCGAGACAACTTTTTTTAAGTCCTGATTCTGACTGTTGCGTGCAAAATTTCTTTTCTGAAGTTTCAATTTCAGCTGTCCTATGCAGAAACTTTTTGGAACAATTCCACTTGTGCTATGGAACAGGGGAACCAAAATTTTTCAGGGTTTAGCTCTCTTTCGCAGGGCTCTACCATATAGCAATAGGTGGTAATTGCCACACCTCGATTGAAGATGCTGGCCCGCCGCTGCCCACACCCCACACCTACACCCACCCACACCCACACCCCACACCCCACCCACACCCACCTCACACCCACACCCTCTCCTTCTTCGATAAACTTTGGCCAAGTTTTATAGAAAACATTAATAATTAATGAATAGTTAATAATTAATTAATAATCAGTCAAAACTAGTCTTAGATTCGAACTCCTCATCCTCGATTATCTTTTGGTCAAGTTTTATTAAAAATATTAATTATTAATTAATTAATAATCAATAATTAGTTAATAATTAGTTAAAACTAACCTCAGGTCCGAACTCCTCATCCTCGATTATCCTTTGGTCAAGCTTTATGGAAAATAATCCTTTTTGTCGTCATCTTCTTTTGGACCAATCACTGAAGTGCGGACATACAAGCAAGCCACAAACAATTTATTCTCACAAGACTCTTCTCTACGAGAAAGAGAATAAATTCACAATATAATCGAGCCGATTCTTGGTTTGGTCTTGATTCATCTTTTATATGTCTTCGAACAGGACATCTATGATGACATACATACATTACATTTTGGTATTGAACATAGTTAAATAATTCTCTCGTTATTTTTTTCATTATATTTCATTGAAGAACGTTTTATATTCATTGATTGATAACAATTAATGCACCAATTTCTAAATTCTTTCTCAAAATGTGCCCAGCTATCAAACTGCTTTTTAAAGAGAGAATAATTATCTTGCTTTATTTTTCTGGTTGAAGAATTACGATAAGCACGAAACAATATACATAGATTTAACTATAATAGCAACATATACCTTTCTGTAACAGACATTGAGAATGATTATGATAGACTTTTTAATAATATAAGAGGATTTATTTGGTACCATAAATGAGGCTATATGAAATCGGTCCATTTTATTATAACAATTATCAATTCATTTCATTTCATTTGAAAAACTATTAATTAGCTCGATAGAGAAAAAGATTAAAGTAAAGATTAATCAATCTATCTTAATAAAGGTTATGTTCTCAGATGTCAAGTTATTTGACTTTTTCTATTTTTCAGTTTCCTATTTTTAAATCAATCAACTAAGAAAAGAAGATATAAAATTTTTCTTTATATAAGCGATCGACAAAAAAATATGATATAATGAAGAGGAAAGATAAGCGCTAACACTAGATGGTTATCAAGTATTCTATTTAAAATAATGAAATTCAACTGTTTCGTTTAAAACCAAAGAGAGAAAGCACCAGAAATGCTGCTGAATTATTGATCTTTATTTGACTTAATTTTTTTTCTATATGATTTATACTCTATTCGTATGTAATAAAGAATTAATAAAACTATGAAAAAACTTAGATAATTAATTTATATTAATCAACAAATACATGTAATATTATAATATGACTTCATATTTACTAATATGTTGATTATATCTACCTGTGTGTACATAGCCAAACGGCTATATAGACACATGTGTATATAGTCAGTCAGCTATATACACTTGTGTGTACATAGCCGACGAGCTATGTACACATATGTGTACATAGTCACTTCCTTCTTTTAAGAGGCGTGCCCTGTGTAATTAATTCAGAGAAATTACACCTGTTCAGGTGTGGTAAATTGTATAATTAAGAATTGTGTGTATCACCAGCAGATCAAAATAGAACACACATACCATGAGAAAGAAAAAAAAATGTGTGGGCACTCCATATCGTGAGTCAGGGAAATTCATGCACTGCTTACACACAGTAATTGGAAATCGGTTTCTCCAACTAAATGATGAAATTTTATCGGAAATTTTTCACCATATAAATAGCAAAGAGCTATTACTTTTTCGCATGAATATTCTACTTCTCAAACACATAGATTTACATTATGGGTAACAGGGCGTCTCGAAAACTGCAGCAAATTCAAAATGCAATAAGTGAAGAACGTCGCGTGAAAACAGCCCGACTACAGCGTCTATTCAATCAGTTCGACAGCGGAAACAAGGGATGGCTAAGCAAAGCTGATATGGTTAAAATGAGCTGTAAGGCACTACGACGGCACTCTGACTTCTGGAATGGTCGAATGAAGCCAATGAAAGTGGTTTTATGGGCGCCATCTCTCATCTCCTTTTTCATTGTACGAACTGAAGGTTTTCAAAATGCTTTTGATCAGCTCGATGCCGATAGCGATGGACGAATCAGCCGAGAGGAATTTGTCATCCGGTTCCTGGAAGATGATGAGTTGTATGAGAGCATGATACGGGCTCTGGATTGAAAGTTCGTCTCGACGAACACATTCTACTGAGCTTCACATAAAGCTCAAGTGTTGTACAGTTTGTCCTTTCTACGTTTTTTTATTGTGCCGTTCCGAATAAAATCTGTAGTACTCTACCGAGCAAAGATTAGAGTCAGGAAAAAATCTTGAAGTTAGGCGCAACAAGCGCAGAGATAGGAAAGTCAAATCAAGTTCCAAATGATATCTTTTGACTTGTCTGAGTTTCAGGAAACAACTTGACTGCGTTTTGAACTTTTCAAGTCAAGTTGTGGGTGTGGATGTGTGGGTGTGTGGGTGTGGGTGTGGGTGGGTGTGGGTGTGGGTGGGTGTGGGTGTGGATGTGGGTGGGTGTGGGTGTGGGTGCGGGTGGGGTGTGGGTGTGGGGTGGGGTGTGGGTCGGTGTGGGGTGGAGTAGGGTGTGGGTGGGTGTGGGTTTGGGTGTTATTGAACTCCAATTCTGTATTCACACCCCCACCTCCCACCCACACCACACCACACCCACACATCTACACCAGAGACCGAAAACGAGTCGAGTACTCGACAAATCGTCTCGACTCGACTCGGTTCACGCCGAGTCGAGTCGAGCCCGAGTGCGAAGTTTGAGAAATGTGTCGAGTCGAGTCGAGTCCAGTCAGATCTACTGTCGAGTCGAGTCGAGTCGAGTCGAATTTGACCCCAACGATTCGACTTTTTAAAAATTTCTTCGTAATTCTATCATTTGTTTCTCAATATTAGTCATCGTCATCGTCATCGTTAGACGAACCGAGATGAGACAATGTCAATTCATTTCAATGAATAGGTTGAACAGAGCATTAAAATGAATAGACAGCGATGAACTGACGACGCTAAATAAACTACAATGAATGATATACACTAGCTTTCATTGTATTCAATGCATTATTGACTGTTCAAAGATTAATTAGAATGCAATGACTTGATTGATCGTCAGCCTATGTAAGTGATCGGCATGCGACGCGTAACAGATTTAGTAGTGTATTGCATTATTTCATTATCTATCGCAAAAAGATGATCAAAACAGAATGGATGTTTATATGATCAAATATTTGATCATATTTAGAATATTGAAATCGATGAAATATGTTAACCATTCCATCCAATAGGACCGTTTCGAATAGTCTTGGAACATTTATGGGGAGAAGAAATCGGCCTGCAGTATTGCCGAAATCGCGCAAGAAAATGATTCAGAATTATTCGAGACGATAATTCCAAGCTCTGAAACCGAGTAGAAAACTTGTAGAAAATTTCTGTTTCTGACAGAGAATCTCCGAAAATCGATAGAAAATCGAAGCAGTACATCAACTGGAGAGAGCGAAGGACTTTTTCGATGACTTCCGACCATCTTTGAGCGACAAAGGCAGGATTTTAACGGGAAGACACAGAAAAAAAATCTGAGATCTCCAAGTCTCAAATACTGCTTTCAAGAAATTGTCGCAATTTCCTGAAGCTGACGGTTTCCTTTTCGTGTGGTCCGACATGGATGTTTCAACACTATGATACAAGTGAAATGTGTGTCTAAATTTCTTCTCATTCTTGATATTAAGAATGTACTTCTAAACATTCGATTTTGAATCGATACTCGGCGGCTCGACTCGACTCGAGTCGAGTCGAGCCGAGTCAGATGTTTTTTAGATGCATGTCGAGTCGAGCGGAGTCGATTGAATGGTTCAGTTGAGTCGAGCCGAGTCGATTGAATGGTTCAGTCGAGTCGAGCCGAGTCGATTGAATGGTTCAGTCGAGTCGAGTCGAGTCGAGTTGAATTTTTTTGACTCGTTTCGGTCTCTGACCCACACCCACACCCCAAGAAGATCCACACCCTATTCGTAGTGCTATTTATAGCCCTTTCTGTAAATTCTCATTGAAAAATCAAAAAAACTTGACAATGTCTGATTTGCAAATCGCAGTGGATAAAGATTGAAAAAACGATGAAGCATTTTATAGAACAATTGTATTGAAATTATAAACAGAGCATAAGAGTTATTATGAAATTCTACATTTCTTTATCTAAACTTCAAAATTTCAGAAAGCAGATGAACAAGAAAACTCTTTTGTGAATTTTAGAATCTGATAATACAAAACCACTTTTCTGACAGAATATTTGTATCAACATCTTTTAGATTTCAATTCTGTTTTTAAAGATATGTAAATAAATTTTGC